AGAGAAAAAAAGAGAGAGAGAGAGAGAGAGAGTATACCCAAAATCCCAAGAGGAGAATGGAGAAGAAGGGATTGTGGTATAGTCATCCTCCTGGGGAGGGTGATTTCTCGCTTTCTGTCTGTCTCTCCAGCGAGTGCATACACCCTATAGCAAAAATCTCTCTCGTAAATAAATAAATAACCTCCCTACTCCTTTCCCCTCCACTCTGCGGAGAAGACATTGCTGGAGAAGCTTTCTGTCCAGAGGTGTCGACAAGATCCATATCACCACCATGCATCCCCACGACGGAGAGCCAAATGCCTTCACCAAGCGTCCAGTCCGTAGTCCGCTTTGCCGGGTTCTGTGCACACAAGACCACACTTGTCATCTCTGCCTTCTTTGAATCTGACTGCCATGCATGCAGCCAAAGGCTGTGCACACCTGTGCAGAGTTTCCTCCTGTCCTTGAGGAGAACTCCTCTGAATTGCACAGCAGTACCATTGGCCACTTAAAATGGAAAAGGCAAGGCTTTGCTGCTTTGGATAATCTTCTGTCAGCTATTGATTACTCGTTATCACTCCCAGTCTGAGAAGGAGCCCCACATTGGATTTATATTCCTTCCTCGACCCAAAAAGAATAGAATCTAATACTCATCAGACATTGGTGTTTGAATATGAACGGAATAGAGAGTGTGCCCCCCCCCATTTGCAATTGATTCTGTAATCTGGCAGATGAGGAGCCTTTATTTTGTTATTACTTACTATTAATTACTTATAAACTTACACAGTGTCCTAAGTTCAACTCCTAAAGGCCCCCATTCAAAGCTCTTTTTTATTTCTCTCTTGCTCTTTTTTTTTTTTTTTTTTCCCTAAAAGAGGTTTTTGCCTTAGGGTGCATGTACTCGCTGGAAAGAGACAGGCAGTGAGAGGGAAAGTGAGAAATCACCCCGCAGTAGGGATGGCCACACCGCAATCCCTTCTCCATTCTCCTCCTGGGATCTTGGGCATGCACGCACATATGCCTGGTGTGAGCTTCAAGCCACTGGGCTTAGGATGAGAACTGTGGTCGGCCATGTGGGAGTCTAGTGATGTAACTGCTACACCATCTGCTGACCCCTCTCTTGCTTTTTTTTTTTTTCAATTGTCAGAGGGCATGTGTGTTTACCAGGGAGGGGAGGGGAGAAAGCACTCCCCCGTGTCCCCTCCTCCCGTGGTTACGTGGCAATCCCTTCTCCTCCATTTCTCCAACCTGTTGGGGTATTGGTCACGCACATGCACTTCATGTGGTTTTCAAGCCTCCAGAACCAAGATTCAAACCGTAATTGACCATTCAGGATCCAGTTCCCTTAACCACTAGGCTAGGGGTCTGGCCTTTCTCTTTATCTCCTCTGTCTTTTCAGTGCTTGCTCTGTAGTTCTGCTTTTATTTAGCCTCATTCTCATTCCTCATTCCCCATGTCACTTTAGTTTTGATTTCTAGTATAAACTTAGCTCCCTCTTGTTGCATTTCATTTTAATGCTTCCTGGCACCCGGCATCCTTTCAAGCCAACCTGGGACCCAAGCCTGTGACCGGTTCTATGGCCTCCAGCCTTGCAGAGCACTTATGTTACTGCTGCACCGCAGAGATGGGGCCTGACTCTTAACTTTTAAAGCAAACTTTTACAAATTATGTTTTAAAAACTTACTTTAATCACTGTACATCTTTAAAGAAATTATTATCAATATTATTTTTTAAATTTGTTATGGGTGCTTACCAGAGAGAGAGAGAGGAAGCAAGCCACCAGATCCAGGACTAGAACCATAGGAGGCCATGTGGGAGTACGGCCATTAG